TTCACCGAAGCTACCCCACCCGCCACCCTCCACTCGGTGGCAAAATTTTGGAAAAGTTTACTAAAAGATGGTAGGTAGGTGGTTGGTCGTTTCGTTCGCCTTTGGGGGAACTGTTATTGGTTGAGTGTTTTTCTCAACCCTTTTTACTAGCGCTTCTTACCCTCGCTCGACGGCTGTTTCGAAGGGAAGAAGCGATTTTTGAAAAAAAAACTGGAAAAGTGGTAGGAAGCTAGTGCATTACAGAAAAATAGTAGGTGGGATGGTGAGGGGACGGGTACCAGAGAATGAACTTTCAAAAAAAAAAGGGTGGGGGCGTATGGGTCGTGTTTTGCAACAGGAACAGAAACAGAAAAGAACGACATGGAAATTTCGGAGGGTTTCAAATAAGTACTTATGCTGGCTGTGCTTATGCTGCTTACCCATGCTCGATCCTCCTCCACCGTACGAGACCAGTCCTTCTCGATCGCTACCGGTGACCGAAGTACTCGTCTTTTTTCGTGCACCATCATGAAATACGTCCGAAGATCTGAAAGTCCCCCATAGTTCGTTAAGCAAAAAGCAGGGAAATTCAGCTGAAACTCACAGTGGAGTATCTCCTTTCATGTCCTCTGACGACATCGACATTGCTGAGGGAGTCTTACTCGATCCTCCTCAATAAGAAAACGCTCAGTCACATATAAGGCTTTCAAATTTGTTATTAATCAGGTAAGAAAAGTGTTATCAAAGGAAGAGTTCGAAATGAGAGAAAAATTGTCCTCACTTCTAGAGCTCGCTGCAGGCGATGCCAAATCCTGCTTGAATACCCGTAAACTTCGTTCTGTTGGCAAAACGAACACAAGTTCAGAACCAGCATCAGCCCACCATATCGCATGTGTAACACCGTCAACGATGTAGTGATCGACAGCCTCCGGTTCTTCAAAGGGCTCTACAATGGATAGATGTTAATAGCACTAGTCAAGCATGATGGACTTTTGACCTGTCAGAAAATCCGAAAATCCAGTGCAATCCCATTCGAGGGTATTTTCTCGTGAAACTTAGCTGATGGTGACATACTTCGTTCACTGCTGAATGCTGTCGACCAATGACCAGTCCACGAATCGTGCACTCCGATCTCGACTCCTTCGCCTAGTCCTGCCAGAAAACCACAGAAATCTGCCCTGGTGCTTTGCACGTTCGCCTGAAATTTTCGCCGCTTTAGCATGGTAGCTCCAATTTTCTGACCATAAGCAGAGCTTTTGAAGAGTTTCATACCTCCCCACTCTGATATAAGAGCGAAAGTATTTTTTGATTTTAAGGCACCTATTCTGGACGTTTTTTCTTGATTTTTTCACAAAACTCCAAAACAAGTTCTGAATGAAATCTCGGCTTTGCGCAAAAAAAAACTTAAATAAAGAGATACAATTCGGCCACAATGCCGAAATCTCAACAAGGAGCAATCGGAAAAAGTTTAAAAAAACAACAAATACGATACCACAAGCGAAAGATAGTAGCCTAAGTAAACAGCGAAAACTTACCGCATTTCCTAGTATATCTACAGCCGATCGCTGCCCTTCCTTCACATAGAATATATGAGTTGTATGTAACGCACGGGTAGGACAGCTATCTACCATTTCGTGAAGAGTTCGGTAGAACTCCGCGCTGAAATGATCACCATTGAGGAAGAGTAGAAAAGTAGTACGAGACCCTTCTCCCAATCCTGCTTGAAATGAATTTGCTTCTTACCTTTGACCGCTGTCCAGGCACACAATATCCTTGCCAAATGATACCCGATCGACGAGACCCATATCGTACAGCAAAATCCGGATTGATTTACACGTCGGCGGACTTCTGTAAGTGATACATCGTGAATTATAGCGCTAAACCTTACACATTTGACTCCAGCAACTATCGGGATTGCTCGATGAATGTTCATTTCGATAATGTGATTAACTGAAGATATGGGAGATGTCCTCTCTAGCGTTATTCGAATACTCAAGCTGCTTTCACCATGAACCCGCCTCCTTTCCTCCTGGCAAGAAGGCCTGCTAATGAAATGAGTGTTCTGCTGCAGGTTATTGCCTGGTCGCCTTGGATCATTTTCACAAAATCACGATATGGCGATCTGGGAGACGGTCAAGACAATCGTACACCGCTCCGTCGCGCGCGGCGATGGGTGAGGCGCTTTCTTAATTTGCACAAGCTTTGGCACCGAATTCCATATAGACCACGACCATGTATACATTTATAGCTACAAGGGTACTTTTGTTGGGAAAGGCGCTACGCAGCGCCTGCTCCGGGGTGCAAAATTCATCCCTGCTATACGTTATTATTCTATACCATAAGGGGATTTATGGCCTTCGTTTGCCCTCAAAGCAGTTAGCACGACAAATCCCCCAAGAAGTAGGATTAATACGCCTGGCAGGACGGAATTCCGCGACCCTGAGCAGGCGCTGCATAATGCCTTTTCCAAGGGAGGTGCCCTTATAAGGGCCCTATCAAGCCACAACATACCGACCCAAACGCCCGCCCGCCCACAAATGGACGACCGTTCCTGACGCTCGTATTCATTCATTTGCTAAGCAAATTATGAAGCGAAGGGATTGGTATGAAGCGGCCGTGATGCATGCATATATGAGTACACATATGCAGCCGTACCTTCGGTAGCGGTTATTGGCAAGATGCCTACAGGAAACTCGTCCAAAATTGATTTCTAACACATTGAGAACGGAGGCTCTTTCTTCGCAGGATTTTGACCGTTTCACTCCGTTCTTTCGCCATTTCCCCACTATATAGCGCCCTACTAGCATTTTAGGCCGAGCACCAAATCATCGTGCCAACTGCCTTTAAGAAAAGAACAAAATCGCTTACAATGCTGGTTTCACTCGTCGATCTTCATCACTCATCAGCGTCCACCGATTCCTCTCACGAATCGCTTTCTGTTGTGGAGTTTCGGAGTCAATTCGCCGCAACTCTGTCTCGATAGCATCGGTTTCTTTAGTTGCCTCCAGAGATCGCACAGTGGTGTCACTAAATAATAATCAGTATTGTCTAAGTTAAAACCCCACATTCAGAAGCTTCCCTGCCATTGCACACACAGAAACCATTTTTCAACATCAACAGAAGACTACTCCAGGCTATCAACAAACGAAATACAGATAACAACTTAGACGGGAACGACAAAAGCAAGAATTTTACGTCATTTCTGAACAAGCCGATGGCCATTTTGGAACAGCTTTCTTTCTACGGATCGCAACTCTTTTAAATCTGGATATACCACGAGCTTTCCCTGCTCTTCTGAAAAATAAGTTTCCTCTTCCATACCAACTCGAATTATTTTCAGCGAAATTATGACACCATTTACGGGATTTCATTTTTCAATTTAATTACACCAGGTGATGCTACTGCTGCTCTGAATGTTTTGCCCTACTTCTGCAGTATTTTACAACAGCCTGAATGAAGCACTTTTCGAATGATAAGGGGCGCCGAAACAGGGTACAGCATCGTGTGTGTGAAATGGTGGTGTAGGTACGACCAGCCCCCTTCCCAGACAGGGTGACAGTACGACCACCCACCTAAATGAGGGTCTCGGTACGACCCCCACCCTTCGCTAGCACCTA